ATATATATATATATCACAAACATGGTCAGCACTATTAAGAGCGAAACTCGAGTCCAGTGCTTTTCCCATTTGGTAGGGACTCACCAGGGCCATTACGTCAGAACAGGATGATTACCGTTCAGATTGGAGTGGGGTGAAAATGAACAAAACAAAAATAACTGGTAACGTGTATTTAACGGGCAAAGGGGTGGTGGTGTTATGCTTGCGTAAAATCAATCGCGAAATCCTGAAAGGCACTGAGTGTTTCCTGATGCATAAACAACTTAAGTGGCTTGGACATGACTACAACGGTTGAGAGCAGTAGTAATTAATAGAGTGGCCTGCAAAACATTTGTCTGTATAGTCTTGCAGAGGTGACTGGAACGACGAGCGCAATGCTCAAAAACCAGTGAGCCACTGGAAAAGCCCCATGATATTGAGTGTGTAGTATACGGTGTCTGTCGGTTTGATTGGTCTATATGTAAATATTGGTGACGTACACCCTTGCTTATTGGGCTTCGGCTCATGAGCTTTCCTTCTGTTTTCCATCCACAGAAATGGTCGCGATCATCTGCCTTCGGAGAATCACTGTCCCCTGGTGCTTCCATAGCGTTCATACTAGAAGTGTAACCTGAAACACGTGGGTGAAAGCAGCTGACCGGTGCATAGGCCTACCTACCTGGCCAAAAATCCGCTCACTCCAGACCGCATAGTAAACCTCAACAAGTTATCTACATATGATTCGAATCTGCTCATGCTACTGTGTGTCCCAAAGAAACTAGCCCTGGATGCAACCAGAAGACATTGCAAGACCATTCTTGTCCCTCGATATGAATGAACTAACGTTATGGCTCATCACTGTGTCTTCATGTCTAGGTGGCCTGGTGGCTCTGCGTATCATCTCATCCAAGGATTGGTCTAATGCTAGCGGTTTTCACCTACCACCGAATTCCATCACAAACGAGACAACTATTTGGCAGGTCAACCTGCAAATCCGTCTTGGATTCTAACCAACTAAGGAAAAAGAACCTTAGTATCACAAAAATGTAAAAAAAAAAACAATATTCCGCATGGCCACATTACAAGTAAAAAGGCGGTAACAACACCACCTAGCTAAGAGAACCGCCCAGCCATCAAGATTGACAGGCTGACCCGAATTCGCCAGAAGACAAAAGGTTTTGTCTCTACGGAATCAATTTTCTCGGTTGACAAGTATAAAGCTTGCTCTAACTTGTTCGAGAAACCCGCGCTGTAGCCAAAACTCGCCGTAACGCGTTCGTTAAAAAACTGGTTTAACGAAATGTCTAGATTGCTAGTACGACCCACGGTTACCTCTCCATTTGCCGTTGCTTACATATTCCTCAGGCTTTAGAAATGGAGTTGAAAAAAACAAAACCCAATTGTCTACCACCCTTTCCCATCTATCAAATGTCCTTCCGGTCATAATCTACAGTATTTTTTTCACAACATCATGCAGTTCCATAACAGTTTTACACCATTTCAGCTAGTCCAGGTTACCGACTGCAGACTTATCAGGTTTAGACAAGTTTTCCCCTGTCTAGACTTGAGCAACCAGGCAGTATTCTAGCCCTTGTGCTTCCTGTGGGTAGCATGGCAGCTAGTCACTGGAAGGGTGCTGTAGCCGAACGATTTTTAATCCATCAGGTTCATGATAGGCCTTTTGTTTCTCACCCTTCTTGAATCTACTTGACAAAACGTCACTACTCATCGGTTGGTGGATGATACATTGTTTTCCATCATCCCATCAACTCTGCTATCTTACAAACCCAGAGTTTACTGCATTCAAGGATTGTCAATCATTTTCTATTATCGACACTCATGGGTTTTCTTTGATTACTTGCAAAATTCACGTCTCGAAAACAGTGCCACACGCTTCTGTTCATTTCTTCTCGGTTCACCACGACGGCGAGCCAGAGGTTCAGACCAGAGATGCTAATTTGGAACGTCGTTCACGTGATGGTACCTACACGCCGTGCCATTGGTAGTCAAATTCTTTTGGGTTTCGGGC